TTCACCCATGCTTGATTATTGGACTTTTTATCATTATTGTGTGTGATTTGACAGTTACCTTCCATATGTCATTTATTGCACTTTAAACATCATTGTTTAGATGTTTTTTACTTGCTATCACCTAAGCGCTCCACAGCGCATTTATATGTACTTATGTTTATTATTCCTTACTCGAATTTCTGAATATAGCGCTGCATTGTTTGACAGATTATATATCAAAGGTTTAGAGGCTGTACCTTTATGCTAGCTGCTTATCATTTATATATTTCTAGCGCTCGTATACCTCTTTTATATATTTTAGTCCAGAGCACCTGCTCACATTTTTCTGCACCCCAGTTCCTTTTTTTGTGCATAGTTGAGTCGCTTAGCCTTGTTTTCATGTTGGACGTATAGCTTTTTGGCTGCAGCTCTTCCACTTCTGGCCAGACTTCTCAGGTCAGTGGATGGGTGTACCTGGGTCCCACTGGTTTCCGCCAGTTCTGTGCTGATGGCACTTGAAGCCCATGTATGTCCACAGGGACCTAAATGGATTATTGCTCTAAAAATCAAAGTATTTATTTACTTAGAGAAATATTGGGATGTCATTGCTGACCCTCCTTCTATGGATGTTAGGAAGGTAAGAGTAGGTGCATAGTTGTTCTGGGACTGTGATGCAGATTAATGAAGGAAGAGAATCAACATGTTGAGCACAGTCAAAAATTACCAGTTTCTCCAGCTGAGACTCTGGCTCCACCTCCCCCCCACGCTGTTCACTCTTCACAGAGATGGGACAATAGTAAAATGTAAGGGGTGGAACCAGGTTCTTTACCATTGGCACAGGTCAAGGTTTACAAATAAGAGTTTCCCATAACCGTAGTGGAGCCCAGTACGGAAAACAAATTACCTGGAGGTGTATTATAGTCCTGAGAAAGTTTTCCTTCAGGCCTACACTGCACAGAGGGGGGAGAGAGAATCTGGAGCAGCTGTGCATGATTCCCAACCAGATTCTTCAACTTGTTCAGGCAAGCTTTCAAAATGAAGATAGAAGCAAATTGACTACCATGCAAAGTTGCTGGAGTAAATTCCCCTCAAATTGTCTCCCTGGGACCATTCTGTTAATTTAGAGCGCCACTTATTCTTAGGAAAGGAGAGATGATTCCCAAGAACTTCCTTATTAAAAAGAAATAAAATAAAGCTTAGCTTGTATAGATTATCCTTACTTTTTTGTCATTTTTTTCTCTGGAAACATGTGAGTGCAATATAAGTGTATCTACTTCGATTTAATAAACAGAATTACACTATATGGATGCCTTTCTCCATTCCTCATATGCACATATTCCACATTATGGCACCATGCCAGGATGATTGAGGATGACAAGCATCACTTAATTCAGGGGGACTACAAGATCCAGCATAACTCTACATGCCCCACCAAAAGCATGAATGACTATGTATCAATATAAAGAGTCCATTACAGCTGGTGAGTTAGGGGGGCACACAAGCGGGGAGCACAGAGCACACATCACTTACTGGCTGTGAAAGAAGCACTTGAAATAATCAATTTCTCATTAAGGACTTTATTTTCACACTAAGGATTTTATTGGTTTATTGTATTCATGCATAATGGTTATTTAAGTTTATGCCATTTTTTATTATTGTATCGCAGAGTGGTGACCAATAAATTTACAGTATATAATTAGATACATATACTTTTTTTTTACTTTACACATTTTTGGATGTACCTGCTTTAAAGATTACAAATCAATGTGTTGCAGGTGAACCCATATTTGCACTTACTGGCTCTGGTTTCTTTACTGGATTAGTTTGCATGTTCTGTACTGGTAAGCTATCTACACAACAAACAAAGGCAACACTTCATCACTGACATGTCCACTAGTTTCCATGTCCACTAGTGTCCACAGTTTATGGAATCATTTTTTTTTTCAAATACTTATTTAAAAACAAAATTCAGACACAAGTGAATACATAGCTATTCATATTTATATGCAAGCCTATATAATGTGCAATTTGAATAACTATTTGTATATACGTGTTGAAGAGGAATGGGCTGGCAACCTATAATCTCACAAATAAGACCAATTTTAAGCAGTGGTGCATGAAAGAAACTTTATTTATAATGTCATACTGGAGAAACAGACAACTGTCGGTGTTGTGACAAGAAATGCAGATTTGTACCAGCAGAAAAGTCTCATTTGGTCTCCTTCCCCCCATGAGACATATTGACTTTCCTCTCTATTGATTGACACACACTATAGTTAAATTATCTGGTCAGAAATGAAATCTGGTTTACAGCAATGATGAGGATATTCAATATTTATATGAAATGCATTTCTGAAGATAGCATTCCAGAGTTTACAATATTTATAAATTATTAGGTTGATAAATGTGCTTTTGTATGACAGTTTTTCACATATACAAAATGTACAAATCTGCATAGTTGCCAAGACTGTAAAATAATTTACAGGGTCCTTTATTTTTTATACATTTAATATTAAATATTATAAGACTTTGAAAAAGTCTGTAATAAAAAAAAAAAGTAAAAATTCTTACCAGTTCTGGGACCCGTGAATTTAATTAGTGGCGTCGTTATGGGGGTTCGGACTGTACTTGGGTGACCCCTTGCATGTCGAATGCAGAATCGGCAGTGGGGCACAGCGGGACGCAGGCTGGATTAACCCCTTGCATTCCAAATGTAGAATGGTTGGCTGGACACAGGCTCCTTTAGAGGCGGGGACGTCAGTTGGGGATGTATGTTACTCCAGCACCGACTGCATCATTTACAGGGGCCAGTTTGGGGTGCACACCGTGAATGTGCGCTACGGCCTGAAACTATTACATGGGGGGGGGGTTACGGCATGTTTTACTGCACCAGGTAACACCAACCCTAGTGATGACACTGAATTTAATTTTCCTTTACTTGAAGAGTAACACTGAACCAGGGGCGGGCTGACCATTTGGAAACTCAGGCACTGCCCGAGGGCCCGGGGTCAGTAGGGGGCCCCATGGGATGCCCCTGGTACCTTTTTCATAGGCTTTGTAAGGGATTTCCAGCAAGACAAATTACGAATAGAAGTGCACATGCACATAGGAACGTCCGGAGAAGAGTGGTCCGTTATGCGCATGCACGCGCACGGCGAAGATTGGCGCCAGACGGGCTATTTAAAGAGTGTCTCTGCTTATGTTGCTGACTGGTCTTCAGCTCCCCCTGCTTGTTTCTGTGTGATTCCTTTGTTGCTGACCCGGCTTGTTCCTGACCTGACTCTGATTGCTCTCCTGATTGATACTGGTTCCTGACTTCGGCTCTGCTCCTGACCTTGGTTTTCCTTCAGATTCTGTACCGTGCTGCCCGACTGTTGATGACCCTGGCTATCCCTATGACACTGCTCCTGTCTCTTACCCTCGCTACCTGCCTTGCTCTGGTGCACGCCTGGCAATCTACAAGACCTGCTCTGCTTGTTACTACTGTGCCTGAATCAGAGGATCATCAGTCTTCCAAGGTCCTCATCTGCAAGAGCTGCAAACAACAACTTACTGGCGCTCTTGTCCCCCTGGTCCCTAGACTCCCTCTATTCCAACTCCAGTGGGGTCAGGGCTAGTGACACAAGTGAGGCCGACCTCGTCATTTCAGTCTCCCATCAGGTACGTAACAGGCTTTTTTGAGTTTGGGCAAGGACACAGGGGCCCCATGATCCCCTATTGCCAGGGGGCCCCCATGAGTTGTCAGTCCACCCCTGCACTGAACAAAGCATCTTCCCCACAGAGCAGACTGATAGCAGCATGAGCCATTGGCTATATTAACTATACGAGCCATTGGCTCCTGCTGCAGTCAATCAAACTTTGTGAAGAGTGTCTATGGATGCAGGCAGTGGGACTCAGGAGTGAGCCTGCACAAGTGCCCCCATAGGAAGCGGCTTCCTGTGGGGGCACTTGCTAAACAGTAGCGCCGTCGGGGAACCCAAGAAGAAGAGAATCGAGACTGCTCTGTGCAAAACCACTGCATAGAGCAGTTAAGTATGACATGTTTGTTATTTCATTTCAATTAAAAAAAAGCTTTACAATCACTTTAAGGGGAAAAAACGTTTAGACTTTAGAAGTACTTTAAAGTACTATAAAAGTAAGTAAGAATTATCACCATTTTTTTTTACATTATTCTGTTCCCCAGTAGGTTAATTAGCTCCTGTCTTAATTGGTCCTGGTATGTGTGTGTCTATGTGTTAGTATTTTCTGCATGCAGGTCTCAAGCCCATGCGGAGGGTTGAGGATATACTTGGTGACATATCTTGTAAAGAAATGTGCCAAGAAAATTCTATGGAAACAGCTCTCAAGCATATCAGAAACAGTGCCTAGAGAACTGGTCCTTAGAATCTCCAAGAGTTGGATATAACTGAATGGATATCAGACAAAGTAACCCTATCAGTGACAGTGTCTGCTATAAGACCTTTCTATGTTCTTCCAGATTCTAGTCTGTGGTATCTGAATGAGACAGAAAATAGAACTGGCTGCTTTGCATGTCACAAACCGTTATAGTTTTGGATACTTTGATATCCAGGGGAACGTGCCTATATTTTGTCTTCTGTGCTCACAATATTTTTCTTCTGCGCTCATCTCATTCACATCTCCTAACTGCCAAGATAGCTTTGCTAATCTGTACTTGCTTCTCTCTGCATAATGTATAACCCCTACCCCAATGCAAGTGCCTTTAACACAGGGGACAATTATCAAGTTCTATATCCTGTTTTTGGTGGTATGAGTCAGGGAAAAAACTGTTCTTTCCCAGTATTGCAATAGGAGCTTTACCTGCTTTGGTATATGCAAGCTTAGTAGGCAGTCAGCATTATATAGTGGATGGGTTGGACACATTTTCAATGTGATATCTGTTATGTTGGCTACAAGTGTTCATTCTACACAATGATCTGCATTTTGTTCCTTCCAAACAACAATGAAGAGTAAAATAATAAACAAAAACAAGGATTGTACTATATGAACAGATTGCAACCTACCTCGAAACTCACAGATCCATTGTGGTCTGTGTCGAAAGCGTTAAATAGAAAGTGTGCATAATTTGAAACATCTGCAATTCAAAAGAACAGATTTAGAATTAGAGGATCATTGGCATCATTAACATTTTAAAGTTAAGCTGTCTGGAAATAGCTATTCAGGAAATAAGCACTGTATTATGCAAATCAAAAGGGGGTTTTGCTATGCCCATGTGATCTTCTTTTTGGGGAAAAGGGGGTTCAGGAAAAGGTATGATCAGGCACCCTACCATTCCTGCTATTTTACATTGGTGTTCTGTCACTTAATGGGAGGGGAGGTATTAGGTGGTCATATTGACAGTCATTAATAGTCCAAATAACCAGCATAACTAACAGCGATCGGTTGACTACAAAAGTGGATATATAACTTTTTTTATATAAATTTTTTTGACAGATAAACCAGTTCATATATGTGTGTTTGTTATGAGTTTTTCCTAACTTTGTCTCTATCATCCATCCAGCAGTGCAACTTTCCAGCTGGTAGGCAGGTATAGGTCAACCTCCCTGCATAGGTATCACTGTCCACAACCACCATGCAGGGAGAATGGAGGACCTCTGTACATGTCATCAGCTGATCAGCTGTCCAGTTGACCTCCTTGGCCTGCACCAGCTCATTGCATTTGGTACACATTTTGCAAGTGGTTAGGATAGAGAAGGGAACCTACTGGACAGAGAAAGTGTGCATAGCATAGGGAAAGGATAAGGGAAGGTATAGGGACTGTTCATTATAGTTGCTGTGTTGAACCTTTTTGCCTCTAGTACCTCATTGCATACTGCCTGCTAGCTGCCTCTCCTGTGCAAGGTGCTGTTGATCTTCGAGCATTGCTCTCCACAAGCACTGCATAACCATCTGTGAGTGTTTTTTGCCAGTTTGGAACCTTTACATAGACTCTGTTCCAGTGTGTTTGGAATATTTTTGACAATAAATGTTCTTGAAATCGCATGCCTCCGTGTGTTGTTCCTTCCCTCTTGCATGCCTACTACCCAGCCTCACTCCCGCCTACGAGCTTCCTTCTGAGAATTAGGTAAACTATTTTGCTGGAGGTAAATGATATTATTATGGCGCCTAGTGATATATGTAAAATAATAACAGTGTTATGTCCATACTGTGACAACAGTGGGGATTCTCAGCTGCTCCTAAAAATGTGTGAAATAACACTTAACAGATAACAATTGTCAATAGGTAGGTGCTAAACCTAGAAAACCGTGAACTAAAACAAAATATCATGATTGTATTAAATCATCAACAATATTGATAATGTTTTGCCTCCCAATGGTGTCTGAATCCATGTGAGTCCATATGGGTATTAAACCTGATAACAAACAAATGTGACCGTCTTACTCAGACGCAGTGCCGTAAACCAAGAGTCCATGTGTCTTCACCACGTGCCAATAAAATTCAGTGAATTGCTCACTCACCAAACATATTTGACCCCGGTTAAGGCGGTCAAAACCGCATTTTGTTAGTATATGCAGAAAGGTCAGCCTCTTGCTATCCTAGGATATTACTCTCAATCATCGATATACCACAAGACATAGCCCCAAAGGAAGTAATCGAGTGATATCCAGTGAGCCCAAACAGTGGATGAATACTCTGTAGCAGGCTCTCCTAGCCTTTGAAGGAGTGTGGTCAAGCGGCTCAAATAAACCAGAGATTAAACCATTCTAAGTGCAGCTTTTAATATTGAGTGTAAGGTAAAATCTGAAATAAATGCACTCACATGTAAAGGTGCCTTGTTGGCCGACACCAGCGTGTACAGCCTATAATTGTCCTAAAATAACCAACTTGCGTTCTAAGCCTCGCTCTCGCTGGGCTGGGAGTGACGTCACCAGAGCCCAGAAATGACAGAATCACGCCTCGACGTACGTTTCGCCTGAAGGAGTCTTCAGGAAATCATTCCTGACTCAAGTCAAGGCTTCCTGAAGATGCCGCCAGGTGAAACGTATGTCGAAGCAAGATTCCATCATTTCCATCAGCTGTACATGCTGGTGTCGGCCAACAAGGCACCTTTACATGTCAGTGAATTTATTTCAGATTTTACCTTACACAATGACAATAATAAATGCTTCACTCAGAACGGTTTAATCTCTGGTTTATTTGAGCCTCTTGGCCACACTCCTTCAAAGGCTAGGAGAGCCTGCTACAGAGTATCCATTCACTGTTTGGGCTCACTGGATATTGCTCGATTACTTCCTTTGGGGCTATGTCCTGTGGTATGTCGATGATTGAGAGGAATATCCTAGGATAGCAAGAGGCTGACCTTTCTGCATATACTAACAAAATGCACTTTTGACCACCTTAACCAAGGTCAAATATGTTTGGTGAGTGAGCAATTCACTGAATTTTATTGGCACGTGGAGAAGACACATGGACTCTTGGTTCACGGCACTGTGTCTGAATAAGACGGTAACATTTGTTTGTTATCACGTTTAATACCCATATGGACTCACATGGATTCAGACACCATTGGGAGGCAAAACATTATCAATATTGTTGATGGTTTAATACTATTATGATATTTTGTTTTGCTTCACGGTTTCTAAGTTTAGCGCCTACCTATTCACAATTGTTAAACTATTTTGCTGGACCTAAAAAAACAATTTTACCATCCCAAAAGTATGAACTTTAAAAGACTGTTAATAGTCCTGAAGGTCTGCATTTGGAAAACGATGTTATGTAAAAATCACTCACTTACCCCTGCATTCTAACTTGAGCTGATTGTAGCAATATTAGTGCACTTGCGACAGAAACAATTCAGTACCGTGATACTTTTTTTATTTGCACTAACGTACAATTTTGAGGACAAGCTTTCGGGGAGTGTCCCCTTCTTCAAGGAAACAGTACTGCTTGGACCTTGAAGAAGGGGACACTCCCCGAAAGGTTGTCCTCAAAATTGTATGTTAGTGCAAATAAAAAAAGTATCACGGACAGAACTGAATTGTTTCCCTGCATTCTAACAAATTAATTTAACTGCACAGACCACTAATAACCAGAAGATGGCAGCAGAGAGCACCTTTTAATAGTTGGAGACATCACAATGCATTTTCTGCACAAAGCCCAAATGTCAGCTCTCATGTATTATTTGCCTGTTGTCAGATTTATTGCAAAGAGGTTAAAATGACTCATGATCTTCATTAAGCTGGTAATTACAGTTTTTTCACACCATATAAAGTATAAATCTTTTTCTTTTGGAGAAATAATCCCACTTCAAAGTGTGACAGATCAAGGTAAACCTTTCACAAAGCTGGACAATTCAAAGTGCGCATATTGTGAAAAACAATTGCAAAATTTGGGGTTATCTTTAGGGAAAATGCAAAAAGATCAGTAGATCCACAGGATTTGTCAACTTAAATGTCCACTGTTGACAAAAAATAATAAATTCACATAAATTTGCAAATTAAAATATTCATTTATTATTATGTTGTATTATCTATTTATTATGTTGTATTGTTATTATTATTTTGCAGATGTTATTATTTTCCTCCAGCTCCTTGTCTGTGCCGAGGTATGGACTTTCAGTTAGAGAGCAGGAGGAAGTGTCAATGGACTATAGGTGCAGTGGTCAGCGCACATGTGGTCCATTGAGAACTACAAGCCTATCTGCTGCAGTGCTAGATGGGACTTGTAGTTCATCATTCACAGATCTCTGTGAATGAATGATGCAGCTGTCTGTGCAGAATCCCACACAGCTGTGTAAATTTTAAAAATGACAGCAGCTGTCAGGGGTAAAATCCGTTTGGAGTGGAGGGGGTCCCATTATATGCAATACCCTTAAATATGGGTGTAACATGGTGAAAAAGATGGATATAGCCTTAAAGCTCATCAGAAATCATGAGTTTTCCTGTTATCAAAAGTCAGATGCCACCATCACATTAAGCACATTAACTCTCTCCACCTTTTGCAAAAAAAAAAAAAAAAAAAAAATCGCACCTACAGTACATTGCATTTATTTTTTATTTTTTGCACTGCATCCTGCAAAGCATTGTAACTGCAATCAATGCAGTTAGAGGAGCAAAGGTCCTTCAGACTATTCTTCCAGCTGCAAGTCCAAAAGTACAGACCTTCAGTTGGGGGCTGGAGGAAGTATCAATATAAAAAAAGAGCCTTTGTACAAGGGAACCCCTGTTAAAGGTAATTCACCAGTGTTAGTGGGGAAAAATGCCCCTTACATTAGTGGTAAGAATGCCTCGACTGGCATTTGCCATTGAACAGCAGAATTGGCAGGTCCGCCACTGGTGCCCTGTGCTTTTCACAATTGAGAGCAGGTTCACCCTGAGCGCATGAAGCCATGGAGAACATTATGTTGTCTGTAATATCATTGACCGTGTTGGTGGTGGGTCAGTGATGGTCTTGGGAGGCATATCCATTGATGGATGCACAGACATCTACAGGCTAGACAATGGCACCCTGACTGCCATTTGGTATCGGGAAAAAATCCTGGTGCAGAGGGTCCTGGGTTTCCTTCTGGTACACGATAATGCCTGGCCTCATGTGGCGAGAGTATACAGGCAGTTCTTGAAGGATGAAGGAATTGATACCATTGAATGGCCCCTATGTTCACCTGACCTAAATCCAATAGAACACCCCTGGGATATCATGTTTTGGTCCAACTGATGCCGTCAGGTTGCACCTCAGACTGTCCAGGAGCTCAGTGATGTCCCAGTACAGATCTGGGAGGAAATAACCCAGGATACCATCCTCATCTCATTAGGAGCATTCCCAGATGTTGTCATACATATATACAAGCACGTGGGGGCCATACAAACTACTGAGTACCATTTTGAGTTGCTGTAATGAAATTCAGCAAAATGGACTGCTGTATCATTTTTTCACTTTTATTTTTGGGGTCTCTTTGAGTTCAGTCCTCTGTAGGTTGATAATTTAATTTCCATCAAAGGATGGGGAACTCTTACATTCCCAACACATTACCCAGTCCATATCAGTATAGATATCCAGCTTGATATTTTTCCCCATTGAGATTTGATTTGATTCCTTTAATTTTTTTTTTGCGCAGTGTATATACACCCTATATTG